TGTCTATACATTTACCGATTCATAGAATATCACTTGTGAATCTCATGGTTTCTCTCCGTCTGCAGACCTCAATCCAACGCCAGTAGGCGGAGCTGGGAACCAACCAAATGGCGCGGCTGGTGCTGGTGCTGCTAATGGAGATGGTGGTAATTCTGGGGATAATAACGAGTCCACTCAGCGTACCGTTATCTGGGGTACCAATGTAGAGGTACAGGAGGTGGAGGAGAAGTTCGATACGTTCTTGCGCACGTACAAGATTCCAGGCGAAGACGAGTAAGTGGGTGAAGCTCTATCATACTTCGGTGTATATCCTCATATGCTATTGTTTGCATATGCATCCGCGTACTTGGGGATGGAGCGGATTAGCATAGTTCAGTCTTTCTAAAACTCAGTTAGAGGGAAGTGCAGTTGTACCTTCCTGCTCACATTCGGAAGTCTCAGAATTGACGGGACGAGTTTTCTTTTGGAGGGTTTATTTATTAGGAGTGGAGGATGCTTATATCTCAATACGAAACACCCACACAAACACGTACCTGTTTATACACGAACAAACTCATACCATGCCTAATCCCCTCGACACCAACACGATTCCTGCAAACCCTAAACCCTAACCCTCTCCACCCCATACTCCCACATTCACCTCCCTAGAGCCTGCTACATGCGACTCATGCAGCACACGGCCACCGAGGAGAAAGAGTTCATCAACGTTGATTGCCACCACCTACACGCCTTTGATGCGGCTCTATACAACCAGCTGATTAACTTTGCCAACGATGTCATACCCATCTTTGATGCGGTGGCTGCCAATATCTTCCATGTGGAGTTCAGCGGACCAGCGGACTTCCTTACTACTCGCCCGTTCAATCTCATGACGGTGTGTTCGGCTCGGATGTGTATATTAGGAATTTACATATGGAAGTCTACAATCTGTATACCTGTGTTTATATATATATTACTTTATAAATCTGTATGTCTATTTATATTATAGGTACTTTTGCAGCAGTATGCATGTCCTTGCATATGAACGTATATGTACTCTTTATATGTGTGTATATATCATTGATATATACATACATGTAAAATCCTTCTATACCTGAACTCCAAATTTCTCAAACCTCAAATCTCAATCCTGTAACTCACTAAAAACTTTGTTTTTCACCGACAAAAACCCCACCATACAAATAACAGGAAAAAGCCATGCGAGAGCTAAACCCGGATGACATCAACAATCTCGTACGGATCAGAGGCATGGTGATCCGAACCACCTCCATCATCCCGGAAATGCGTACCGCTTTCTTCCGCTGTTTCATCTGCAAGGCATCGGTCACTGTGGAGGTTGTTGGGGGGCAGATAGCTGAGCCCACTGTGTGTCGACAGTGTAATAAGAAGTGGTCCATGGAAATTATTCATAACAGGTGTGTGCATATACATCCGAAGAGCAATCGGGCTTGTCCCGTTTGGTCCTATCATCCATTCCTAGCTGCTTCCTACCAGATAAGCAGTTTCCCAAAGTCTGCAAGTATACTTATACATGTTTGCACACAAACACGCACACACACACACACGTACACACATACATACATGCATACGTATACCTACACACATCCGAGCACCAATCTCACCTATCCCGACTGGTCATATCATCCATCGCAGATGTTCCTTCCTTGACAAGCAGATTGTGAAGCTGCAAGAATCGCCCGAAGTCATGCCTGCAGGACAGACCCCCCACACAGTGTCCATCATTGCGTACGATGACTTTGTGGAGACTGTGCAGCCTGGAGATAGGTATGGGTTCCGTATTCACTGTATGCATGCGTGTCTTATATCAACAAATATATGTTCACACACGCATGTATATATATACATATACATATACACACACACACATATATATATATATATATATATATATATATGTTTCCCGATATGCGAGAAGGTCCACATATGTATTTGACCTTTGCATGTTCGTGTTACGACTGCTTTTTATGTCACCGTATTGTACTAATGATGTGTTTCTATTTTTTCAATAATATACCTACCTTTCAGAATTGAGCTAACACAATATATGATTCATGATTACACCGATTCATCTAAAAAAATACGCTATATTGTTGTGGTCACCGTTGTACGAATAGACTCATCTTTGTACCAACATCCGGTAGCTGGTGTTTGGACATGTGCACTATACTACTTTTATAGAGTTGTCGTGATTGAAAAAGTATACCAATTCATCTATATACGGTTATTTTGATTACTAATCTTTTCTCTCTCTTTCACTATATATATATATATATATATATACGTACTTTATTTATAGAATCGAGGTGACCGGTCTGTTCCGTGCTTCCACTCTGCGGCCCAACAAGAATCACCGCACTATCAAAGCCGTGTTCCGTACCTACCTGGACGTTGTTCATTTCAAGAAAAGTTCTAAAAATAGAATCGAGCGCGACTCGAATGCGGACGAAGGAACCGCCACGAGACAGTATGTCATTGTCTGCCGTTGTACATGCTTTGGATTTTTATACTGGTTTATCACTCCACCAATCAGTCTACACTCCAGTATTGGAATGTGCATATGTATTCTCAAATTGAAACTAAAGTGGTTTGCACACGCACATAGACTATATACCTGCATACATAATACGCAACTCACAGGATTGGTACACGCAGAAATAATTTGAGATTCGAACTCGTGCCTTATATTCCATTATTCATATAGTTTTATCTGTAACTCATCCAGCATATTATATTGACAACTCATCGAGAAATGCCTATATGTAGCTCATATGTTCTATTTATAACTCAATCAGCATGGACGATGGTCAATCCGATCCCCAAAGAGAGAGCGAAAAGGTTGAGAGACTCAAGGCTCTCGGAGCATCAGAAGATATCTACAATCGACTATCATCATGTATAGGTATGTACATAATCAGTTATACATCATAAATGGATGAGGGTGTATGAATATACTTACAAGAGATATCAATAATCGAGTCATCATGTATGGGTGTGTACGTATTCAATTATACATCATGAACGGATGTCACAATAAAATATATATACTGATATGTACAGCTGTGAGAGTCTTTGATCGCAATGACATCAGGAAAGGAATGCTGGTGAAGTTAAACCATTCATTCGACACATTAAAAAAGGGCTTACAATCAAATATGCGAATTTGATTATATCATGATACAATAACTCGAGTATCTTTGGTTTTCACATGGGTTTATATATATGTATATGTATATGTATATGTATATATATATATATCATATACAGAACGCTTCGAATATGTTTAACCTTCGCATGCAAATGTACTAATATATAAATATAGCTCCGAGCATCTTTGGCCACGAGGACATTAAGAAGGGAATGCTGATGATGTTGATGGGTGGTGTTTCGCGTAGGCGGTCACCGGGAGGTGGCGAGGCAAAAGGCTTCAGAGGAGAACTCAATGTACTACTCAGTGGAGATCCCAGTACGAGTAAATCTCAATTCCTAACAGTATGTGAGTGTATGAGTCTGATATATATATATATATTTATATGTATATATATATAACGTGTTTGTTGTGCTGGTGCTTACTAGCGTGTGTACACAAGTACCTATCCTCTGCTTCGTGTATTTTAATGTATGATTTGTATATAT